TGATGACTGCTTCCATTCTGGAGAGGATCACAGATACATGGATCCTGGGATTGAAGCTCAAGCCGGTGACAAGTGATATTTTTCTAACAGCCATGTTTATGTTTGCAGGGCACATACATTGAGTATGTTTAATCCCTAAAGAGTGACCTATGAAAGCAGCCTGACCTTCTTGATGTGGACGAGCTGGCGGATGTCCATGTCGTCGTCACAGTTGCGGACGTCGGGTCTCACCGTCTGCACCACCTGCCGCACGACGGGCACGATGATGTCCCGCCAGGATAGAGACAGAGACTCGCTGTAGAGAAGCTGCTGCAGCAGAGCCATCATGTGGCTGTGGTTGGCCGAGCTGCACAAAGAGAGGTGTCAAAGTCAAAAGTCAAGTCAACTTTATTGTCAATCTTTCAGTTTGTGTGTACAGACAGAGAGATCGAAATGCCGTTTCCCACAATCCAGAATACAAAAATATAAAAATATGTTTATCCTATATATACACAAGGTGGATGAATAGATGAGGATAATATTAAATCAGTAGTTTTTAAAAACAGTTACGCCCATGTAAACCTTTCAAATTTAGATTTCTAAAGTTACTATCATGTTGGATGTATTCCTTTGTAAATGTACATTTACTGTTTGTTATTTTCTCTGTGCAGACGACATGTTATCCAAAGTGCGGATATAATCATTACTATAATTACCAGTTTTCTGGTCATTTAAAGGGGACCTATCATGCAAAACTCACTTTTGTACGTCTTTTATACATGAATATGTGTCCCCAGTGTTCCAGAGAACTCACCAAGTGTCAGAAAACACAACCCTCTCTATTTCCCTCCATACCCAAATCTCTTAAAAAGGGGCTGCAACGGATCTGATACAGACTGATCCAGATCTGAACACTTCTGTGACGTCACAGAAGTGGCGCTACGGCTATTGGTTCAACTCCACCAATCAGGAGGAGACAGCCACGGACATTGCCGTTGGAAAGCGCTGGAGACGCTGTAGTACATATGCCAGGCCTGTAGATGGTGCTGTTCTCACAGAATCAGCCCATGATGCAAAGACAGTGTTAAATTGAGCGAAATGAGGAATGGCTAAAATGCATGATCTGTTTGGTATTTTGAAAAATAAAAAGTATAAATATGCCTTAAATAGGTATGGTTCTACACTATATTATTCAAATATAGCATGATAGGTCCACTTTAATAAATGTATAGTCCATATACATTAACTAAATGGTTATACCTATTTTTGTTAACTTGTGTTTAAATGAAATACCTGACAAATAAAAATTGAATTTTTTTTCTCCTTTATTAAAAAACGTTTGAAGTTAAATTATAAAGGAAAAAAAAAAGATATATATTTCCATTAATAATGTTTATTCAGATTTTCGGAGAAAGAGACAGAAAGAGACAGAAAGAGACAGCAAGTGCTTGTTTTGATCAATTCAAGCAACCTAAATGGGTATCAAATAAATCTAAATAAGATTTTCACAATAAGCTTCGACTGAAAGAGGATCATTTGTCATATTTAATATCGGTTGGGCCTTACTTTTGTAACTTGAAACTGATTATTTTTGTGTAAAAGATTGTTGATACAATTTCCCAGAGGCCAAGATGACTTCTCCAAATGCCTTGTTTTGTCTGATGGACTTTTCTTACTATACTTACTATAGTTTGGTTTGAAATAAGATAACATTGAACAAATCCACTCGTTCCAGCTCTAGAGGACTGCTGCTATAATGTATAAACACTCAGGTCACAGACAGCGTGTTTCTCTCCACTCACAGCAGCCTCTCCATGGCCTTCTTCTCTCCGTTCTCCTCCCTCAGCTGGTCCAGAGAGCTGTGGTGCCAGCCCAGAGGCGTGAACAGGATCTCTTTGGCCTTCTCCTCCACCCGGCGGTTAAACAGAGACTCTATAAGGTCAGAGAGAGAAGGTCAGAGAGAGAAGGAGGTCTGTGTCACTAGCTGGGAAGTGTATTATATTATCTGATCAAATCAATAAGGAAGTGCAGAGTGCCTACCCTTGATAAAGGCATCACTTATGACGATATTCTGTCCTCCGTCCTCAGACAAGAGATACTCAGCTGAAAGAAGAGAGGGCTTGTTAGATACAGGATGTATAAGTTATATCTGTAAGTGTTCAGTTGTTTTACAGTGATAATGATCTCTGTATGAAGTTTGGTTCTTGAAAAACGAAATGGAGTCAAGAATTTGTGACAAGATAACAAGAAAAGTGTTTTTATTTTATTCGTGTTCACACAGTTTTGTTAAGATGATATGTCTGCCTTTTTTTTGTGTCAATTTTGTGTCAACATGTCAGAAACAACATACAACAATAATAATAATATATATTCTTTTTTTTCTCACTCATAATTATAACAAAGTACAAAAAGATAATAATAATAATTTTGAAAAAATGTAAAAAAAAATTCTCAAGTAGTCTCTGTCATGTTCAACAGGGGCAAGAAGAAAAAATATATAAATAAAATATTAGGTCATCGTCATCAGCGACATGTTTGTCTTGTTAATTTGTTTGATTTTTACAAAACAATCAGAAAGAAATTACTTTTACAATTACAAGAAATAACAAATGTGATTTTACAAGTCCTGTTCATAACCATTCATGATTTGGCTCCCAAATAATACTTTCAGTTTAGATAGACTTGTACAATAATTCAGTGCATCATTAAAGTTATTCCACAGACTAACACCTTTTGATGAGATGCAATGAAGTTTGTTCGTACGGGTGGTTTTAAAAAAATGCAGTTTCCTCTCAACATGTGCACGCTTTCTCTCCGTGTGAAAAGTCCCTGGATATTATGAGGTAATTGTTGATTTGCGGCTTTGAACATAATTTGAATAGTTTTATAGTCAGCCAGGTCTTGTAGTTTTAGTGTTTTTAGTTTGATGAATAATGTATTTGTTGGTTCTCTGTACGTAGTTTTATGTATAACTCGTATGGCTCTTTTTTGCAGGATCAAGATAGGATGTGTATTTGTTTGTGTTCCCCCAAACTTCCACACAATACATCATGAATGGAAGTATGAAGGAGCAGTACAGCATAAACAAGGAAGCTTGATTAATTAGGTATTTGGCTTTATTCAGAATTGCTATTGATTTGGATACTTTGGCTTTGATATAGCTTACATGTGGTTTCCAACTTAATTTATTGTCTATGATTACTCCAAGGATTTTTTTGCAGCTGTAGGTAGGATTTATAAGTTATTACTTTAAGTGTTTGATTGTTAATGATCTCTTTATGTAGTTGGGATCTTTAAAAACTCAAAAGAGTCGAGAATTTTTAACAAGACAACAAGAAAAGTGCAGTTTATTTGAAGTTTCCACACAGTTTTGTTAAGATTACATTTCTACCTTAATGAAGCTCAGCGCAAGTTCAACCAGGAAGACCGTCTTTCCTCATTCATTTACTATTCCCAGCTCACTAATACTCTCACTCCTCTCAATAAGTGATCGGGGGCGTCCCTCCCCAGCTTAACCAATCACTTCGCTCTATTCTCACAAGCCTATCACAGCGCTCCGCTAAACCTTTTTAAATCTGCTCTCCCCCCTCTGACAGCTGTCATTTCAGGTGACTCAACGCAACCCTCCTCCACCCCTTTTCACCTCCTGTCCCTCTGAATCCAGGGTCAAGCTAAGCCCCTCCCCTTCAGACCGACCCCAACCATCCATTCACAACCACCAGGGTCTAGACCCCAAGGGGTTTCATCGGATCGGTTCTACCCTCCCGAATGATACTTCCTGCACAACGGGGCC